GATTAAAGCCGTAGTTTCGAGTTTCAAAAGATGACCTGTTGAGATTTAGGGATAGATGATCCAAATATCAAGAAACAAATCTTGGAAGGAGGTCATAATTCTGAGTACACCATATATTCTAGTCGCACTAAGAAATATAAAGATCTCAAAAGTCATTATTGGTGAGAAGGCATGAAAATAGAAATTACAAATTATGTTTCAAAGTATTTGACTTGAGTAAATCAAAGTAGAACATTAAAGACTTGTTGCAACCTTTAGATATTCTTGAATAAAAATAAGAATGTGTTACTATGGACTTTGTTTCAGGTCTACCTAGAACATCAAGAAAGCATGATGCTATTTGGGTCATCAATGATAGGTTAACCAAATCTATATATTTCTTACCTATCAATATGACTTATTCTCTTGATAGGCTTATAGATTTATATATTAATAAAATAATAAGACCGCATAGTATTTCATCTCTGATAGAGACTCCAGTTTTGTTTCAAGATTATAGAGAAGATTATAGGAATATATGAGTCCTAAAGTTAAATTTAGCACATCGTATCACTCTCAAACCGATGGTCAATCAAAAAGAATAACTCAAATACTTGAGGATTTGCTTAGAGCCTATGTTATGGATTGATAAGGTGAATTAGATAAAGATATTTCTTTTATTAAATATGCTTATAGTAATAATTATTATTCAAGCATTCAAATGGCTCCTTATGTAACTTTATATAGGTAAAAGTCCAGAACACCTATAAGTTGGGAAGAGGTTGGCAATAGAGAATTGTTAACACTTGACAAAGCACAAGAGACTACTAAAAAAATTTAAATTATAAGAGAAAGATTAAAGACTAGTTAGAGTCATAAAAAGAGCTATATGGACAACAGAAGAAGAGATATCGAGTTTCTAAGTATCGAATTTTGTATTCTTGAAAGTCTCCCCTTTTGAACCTTTTAGAAGAAAGGAAAATTAAGCTCGAGGTTTATTGAACTTTTTGAAGTCATTGAGAGTATTAGTTATGTTGCTTGCCGGATTGTCTTGCCACCATCTTTATGTTATATCTATATTGTATTTTATATTTCAATACTTAGAAAGTATATATCGGATCCTTCTCATATCATTAAGTATAAGCCAATTGTGATCGGCAAAGACTTGTCTTATGTCAAAGAGCTCACTCAGATCATTGATAAGAAAGAAAATATTCTAAGAAATAATGCCTCTAAATCATTCCTCTAGTTAAAATGATTTAGAGGTATTATTTTATTAATAAATCTACTTAGGAGCTAGAGGAGAAAATGAATAAAGCTTATCCTCATCTTTTCATCAATCGAGGGGGAGGAGAGTATAATATTTTTTTATTTTTAAAATTATTTTTAATTTTTAAGGATATGTTTGTAATATAAGGACCTATTTTGAATTGTTTAGAAAGACCTATTTATAAATCTGATGATCTATTTGTAAATATAGATAGTCACAAGGATTAAACTATAAAATATATAAAAAATAAAAAGAGGTTTCTCCGCCACCTCTTGCCTCCATGCCTTGAGCTTGAAGGAACTAAAGGAGGTAGTGTTTGGTGGAGAAGAGAGGGAGAAGGGAGGAGAAGAATAAAGAATAGGAAGTGATTTGGTTTAGGATTTTTGGAGCAATCCCTCTTTGTTGGGTTCAAATCCTTTAAAGGAAGTATTCTAACCTCTTCTTATAGCAATTTAAATCTCTATTTTCATCTTAATTATAAGTAATTTGAGGGGTTTCATACATGATATCAATCTCGTTTAGATAAAAAGTTATGAATATAAAATTTTTGATATTTATGACCTATTTGTCTTATTTGATCTATAACTTTTTTAACTAAATGCTGAATTGAAAAAACCATGATTCTTTAAAAACTAAACTCATATATCTTTCTTTAAGTACCTTATTTAAAAGATTTAGAGTACAAATATATACCCAAATATTTATTTTTACTAACCCCATAGATTCTATAAAATATAAATGATAATTTCTAACATTTTTATACTAAACTACTTGTAACTTTTTGTTAGAAATTTTAATTATACAAAACTGAAAACTAAACTCATAGATCTTTCTTTTCATACCTTATTTAAAAGATTTAAAATAAAAATATCTACCCAAACATCTAATTCAATTAATCATATAGATTCAACAAAATAGAAATAATAATTTCTAACAAAAGTTTATTTTTATTGTTTCATATACTTCTTATACATGCTAAATTTCTTGCTCATAATGTGCTTTTATACTATGATATTTATGAGATAATATAAACTTTTGTTAGAAATAATGTGCTTATGATGTTCTTGTTGGCCCCTTATGACTTCATCCAAACATGACTAGATGGAGCTTCCAAACATGGGAGACTTATGTTAATGGGCATGCAGAATTGAATAGATCATATTTGTTAGAAATAAAAAAGAGAGTTATGTTTAGAGCTTATGATATTTTTGTTGGCCCCTTATGATGTCATCTAAACATGACTAGATGGAGCTTCCAAACATGGGAGACTTATGTTAATGGGCATGCAGAATTGAATAGATCATATTATGTTATGATCTTACTTTACCCTTTATATTTTTGACCTCTTATCCAAAGTATTACTTATGTGTTCCTATGTGCTCTTTGGATAAGAATGTAATGAATGCAACAACATATATGATACTTGAGCTTACGTTTTTTATTTGTTCTCTTGATATATACTTAAATATTTTTTACACTATTGATATACACCTAAATATTTCATACGTCATTTATATGCTCGTAGATATTTTTTACATCATTGATATGTGCCTAAATATTTCATATGTCATTGATATGCTTCTAAAGATTTCATACGCTATTGATATGTGCCTAAATTTTTTACGTTATTAATATGTTTCTAATTGCTTTTTACTTTAATATTATAAACAAAGTATAATTATAATGAAATAATATCTATGAATTCTTATAGCCCTTTCTTGTACCTTAATATTAAGACCATATGATCTAGCATTTCTTATCATGGATATGTTAGTTACTTGTTGAGTTGCTCATCCTCTTATTATATAAAATTTTCAGATTAGCTTGTTACTTACTAAAATATTAAAATTGGGCTGAGGCAATGTAAAACTATTTAGATTTTGGGCAAGTTTTTATGGATTGATATATTATTGTTAAGTATATTTTATATATAATAAAATATTATCGATAAATCTAAATTGATATATCTTGTAAACGTTTAAAAGATCTCTCATATTTGAGATTATAGAATGTTAAGTTTAATTTTTTGATAATACGAACTTACGATAAATAGTTGATTTTATGATTGTATAAATTTTTATGTTTATAAATTTATAAATGATAATTATTATTATTTTTAATTAAAATTAGATTTCATGAATTATAAACTGAACAACTAGCAATTGCAATGTCGGGTCGAATAGGGAGAGCGACGAACGGGGCAAAATGGTCGTGAGCTGGCCGTTTTTGGGAGAGAACGAAGCAAAATGGTGAGTTTTTGGGTTTAGTTTACTAAAGTGTCCTTCGATCCTAAGACATTTCTGCCATCAGTGAACAAGGATCTAAATCGGATTTAGGTCCACTTCGGATGCACCATTCGACGATGACCCAACCCGATCGAAGGTCAGCGAAGAAGGGCAGAGAATGGACCGGATCAATTGATGCTGACGTGTCTACTGCTACATGAGTAAGGCTATTTAACATGGCTGTCGATCATGCTAATCATTCACGGTTGGGCATGAAATTTAATGATTTAATTCAAAATGGATTGTAAGAAAATGGCATAGTTTCATCCTGTCACGTTGAGAAATATATGTAATGTTTGCTGCATCTCGTCCATAAAATAGAAATGTTTATAAATGTGTATTTATAGTATATGCATTTATTTGATATGGTGAAAGTAAAATCTTGTAATTCCATGTAATGACAGTAATATTATTAGTTAACCTCTTAGATTAAATGATAATGATAAAAAAAACTAATATAACATCAAAGAATTACATCGTGTTTCATTATTCTATAAACGAGGAGCGTAATCTGATTTGATTCATCCTTATCATCGCCAAAATATTTTGTCCCAATGTGTGATGAGGTACTCAACAAAGTCTCTCCGATTTTAATATCCATGCATGCATAAAGAAAACTCCTTTTGTTTAAGTTTGAATCATCGGTTAGTATTCATTTTCATGTTTATACAGTAGTCGTAATAAGTGATTGATGCATATACTAATTAATACCCTCACAATAAAAAAAAGGCTAAGTAATGAATTGAGTTTTTCGAGCTGATTTAATTAATGAATTGAATTAAATGTACCCTTTCCAACCTTCTTTACCTATTTTTTACGAGCAATCCACACAACATAAACGTGGCCACATCATACCTGTACCTCTCCTGCGTGATACATAGCAAAAAAAAGAATGACAAAGATAAAAATAGTCAATAGCAACATATAAAACTAAAATAAACATATTTTCAGTAAAATATGTGCATAGGATATTTTAATTTTTCAATCTAACATCCCCAAATCTGAACAATAAAAAAAATAACGCACATGAAGAAAAAGGCTACCATTAATTTTTTTATCGAAGAAAAATAACTCACTTAGATTTTCTTTTTTATGTATGCCTATTCTCAAGAGCCCTTCCTTTGTGTTTTCTGATATTTTTACTCTTTTTTTTTCGATTGGACCTAAAAAAAATAAAAAAAATCCTAATCTTTTTCTCAATAGGTCATGCAAAATTTTCAGAATTCTCTTATATTTTTATTTTTGTTCTCAATAGTACATTTTTCTGCTGACTTTTTGTTTTCTAGGTCAAACTCGGTCGATGGACGGCTGGATCTGAGATATGCCTTGCGGCGCCATGATATGAATGGAAAAATGTTGCAAGTCTTAACTTGTTACTCCCATGACACGCTAATACGTTTCGCTTACTTCCATGACATGCAGCTATGTGCATGTGCATCAAGAATGCCACGTGATGTCAGATGGAAAACCATAAAATATATCCCCTCCGTAAACTTCCATCAGATAACAGTCTGGACTCTGCCGTAAGTTTTTGACCAATTAAACCCCAGTGGCCATGGCTTTGATGGTCAAGAATGCCACGAGAGAGAGAGAGAGAGAGAGGAGCACAAGAAGAAGATCATGTGTTTATCTTCCACTGACAAGATTACAAAGGAAAGAGTAGTGGATACTGGATTCTAAGTGAAAGCAGTGCATTTCTTCCTGATGTTCCCACCAGTCCCCATAAGGACCTCCACATTCCCCAGCTTCACCAAAGCATCTGCAAACTTCTGTAGAAAGCCCGCTTCATCTGACGCCAGGCCAGAGACAACGCTCGCCGTCGAACTATCCGAAGCCAGCTCCTGGTCGATCTGCATCACCCCTTTGTTCACCAGTAACTGGTTGTAGTACTGGTTGTCGACTACGAAAGACGTGTTCTGGTCCAAGAACGCAGTAGGATCCTTCTTCAATGGCTTCGGTCTTGGCCCGCAGATTCGAGTAAGCTTGGCTTTCAAGCTCGGGTCCATGGAAGGGTCGGGCGCGCCGGTGCCCTGGAAATTTCCGAGCCGGTCGCGGAAGAAGACGCAGTGGGCCACGCCGACGGTGTGGCTGCCCAGGAGGATGACCATTTCTTCCAGGGTGAATCCCTTCGCCGAGAAGAACTGAAAAGCCCCAGAGACCGTCAAGGATGGCCCTGGCAAGCGGACGTCTTTGGGGTTGGAGACGAGGCCATCTCGTCTCCCAGTGGGAATGTCGTAGTTGGGACCGCCGGCTAGTGCTACGGCGTCTCTGGTTGCAAGCGCTATAATGTCAGCGCAGGAGACAGTGGACGGGCATTGAGCCTCCAGGTTTGCTTTCACCTCGTCGATGATCTCGAACCCGCGAACAGTGAGGTTTGGCCCCGCCGACCTCTCCGTCTTCTTCTTCTTGGTTGGAGCTATGAGGATCGATGCGTCGCAACCCTACAACAGAAACAAAGCCATGCACCTTACGTTGTCACATCACGATGTAGTGCAAAGACAATTGTCGTGAAGAGGAGATGGCTTATTACCCTAACGAAGCAGTCATGAAAGTACATGCGAAGGAAGGCGGCGGTGACGGAGTGATCGGTGGCGAAGTGCTTAGAGACGACGGAAAGCACCTCGGACTCTGCTTGCGGGCAGGAAGAGTTGTAAAACCCGACTTGGAGGTCGCCAATGGCGAAAGGAATGGAGAGGGAGAGGAGGATAATGCAAAGAAGCTCCATGCTTCGGTAACACGACCAAGGAGACATCACCACTGTATCCTCTCTTCTCCCGGCGGTGGTGAGATGAGATTGACAGTAGAGAGACTTGTGTGCATATATAGAAATCTAAGGTGCTAATTGAGCACAACTTGTAGTGCCCATATGGAGGTTCCATAATGCATGGGAGAAGGTTGACTTGGTAGAGAGAACAGTATTATACTCAGGATGCTGGAACAGGAATCATGCACGGTTTCACTCTTCTTGTGTTTGCTTCTTGGAAATTCCTTCCACCAACGTGCAATGTATAGTGTCAACCAACCTCCATGGCACCAAGTTTAAGCACTGGAATTAGCTGTCCAGATATTGTTTTCATAGCACAAACTAGACCATGTTGTGGTGTGAATCAGTTGGGTAGCTTTGACATAGAGGAGAAGCAGAACATGTCTGCTGTGGAGATCATCGAGAAGTTTGCGGAAATAACGAGGTCTTTTCCAATCTAATATACATGTGAAGGTTGGATGGCCATACAAGGGTTGCACTAAACATTATGTTCGTCGTGAGTAATTTATGTGGGCTCCGTACGTAGATAGTGGTGGGAAGAATGTGGTGGTACATGAATCCATGTTCATATGTTTGTGATCACGCATTTACGCTAACGATTCTTCTGGTGATTCCTTGGGTCGAACTATGAAGCTTATCGTCGAACTCTTAGAATGCAGAAATTGTCATCACAGTCAATTATTCTACGTGTCTGATAAGGTCAGACGAGAGCAACACAGAGACGAAGATTGACGGCAATGCAAGAAGATCTCATTCTCGTTTTGGTTCAATGGAAGCAATGCGACGATAGAGATATCAGCTTTTGTTCCCCATGCGTTCAAACTCACTCCGGCGGGTGCTCCTCCGCTGCAACAGGTTTCTCCTTGCCATCTGTGTCGGCGGCCTCTGTTTCCTCGACTAGTTTCAGCTCGCTGATCCCTGGATCAAGCTCCTCGACAACAGCAGCAGTCGGGCTTTCACCAGTCGGCTCAGAGAGGTCTACCAGTGGCGGTTCCTTGCCGTCTTCGGCACTCTCGGTCTTGGCCTGCAAATTCTGGAACCATGAAGATCTTGAGGAAGGAGAAGGCGTCGAGGAGAAGTCGTACCTCAAGAGGAGCAGGGTCGGGAATGGTGGGGCTCTCGGCGGGAGGAGCGTGGGGGCTGGCGACATTTAGCTCGCTGGGTTTGCTTGAACAAATACCCATTGAGCTCGGCGCAGGAGAATCCGAAAGGGGAACGACAGGGCAGCAGAGATCTCCGGCGGGGTATATAAACGGACGGGAGAACGATTAGGGTCAGAGAGGTGAAAGAATATGTCGTATCCATGTCTATGTTTGGGGGAGGGATGGTTGGCTGTTCTTGGACCATTTCTAATGGACAAATCTTCCTCCGTCGAGTGCGAGCTTTCAGGGGAAACCAACGGTCAGAAGGCGGGAAGGCACTCTCTCTCTCTCAAATTAGAGATACAGTAGACAGAGGCGGTAGAGGTCGTTTGCGGTTAAAAGCATGTATGATCACTGCATTGGCAGAAGCCTTCGAAAATATTGATACATTTCTTCTTCAGATAATGAAGAACATTAACAGTGATGCAAATAAACAACTAAAAAAAAAAAAGGAAAACAGGGCTTCCCTTGCACAAAAAGTTTGCATGTCTTCATAATCATGCCAGCTCAAAAATTAGTAAAATCATATAGAACAAGAGCGGATCATAAGTAATAATACACAACCTTCATTAAATAACAAATGGAAAGTGAAATGTGCAGACGATATTAAGCAAACAATTGACATATACCCAATCACTTGTGAAGTAAAATATTTCAGAAACACAAATAATAGCGGCAACAACTATACACTTTCTTTGTGTTATATACAACAATAGCTACGCTGTAGGATGGTACCCAGGATTCATAGTCACATCTGGTGGGATATGTCTTGCTGCACCAATCTCCTGGCAGCACTCCATAGAAAGCCGAAGAGCAGCAGCAAAACCCAGCACGATAAGAACACCTACAATATTTGTACCAATCAACTGTATTTTATTTTTCAGAGATTGAGAGAGAGTTAATCAACTGAGTTTAGTTAGATATATGTGCCTCTAGTAGTGCTGAGCAAGAAGTAATAGACATGCATATAAAGTTAAATGCACATGTCTGTGTCCATCTATACCCATGTATTTATACATGGTGTCCAAAGGTATAGAAAATGAACATTAAGAAACAAATTTATCAGCTGTCATCTGAATTAATTTGTTTATAATTTATAACTACTGTAGAATTATTTCCTAGTACATTAATAAAGCTCAGATGCATATGGAACCACAGTTGTGCTTATATTGCTCCCACCAGGGAAAGTTTCATACTAATTCCACCTACCTTAAAGTTTTCCTACTCTTATTGTTTCATGAAGCGTTGATGCATAGGGCATCGTGGTATTTTCACAAATGTAATCATGAACGTTCTGCTCAAGACAGAAAGGGAAAGAAATATACAGTAAAAGCAAGGTAAACTTTATCTAGTTCAAACAACAATTACCACAGTTGTGTATCCGTCTAGGGTTTTTCCAAAAGGCAGTTCATAATGTTTAATATGACATTGATCACATTGTAATCTGATGTTTATGTTCTGTAACATGATATGCAGAACTAAACAGGTAGCTTTCCAATAATTAACTATAAAAATTGTTGACATAAAGAAAGGATAACAATTGTACCAGTTATGATGTTCACAGGCAGTGAAGAAATACCAAGAGAAACTGATATTAGCACATCCAAAAAGAGTCCTCCAATTAGAAGGGCAAATGCAACCCAAAGTGGGTTCCAGCATCCCTGTTGGCATAAAGAACATAAACATAAATCCAAGCAAGATAATGACAGACTGAGCAACTAGCAGAATGATAACAAGTGGTGATTGTCTTGAATAAAGAATCGTAGAATCATGCATTTATCATTCAGGATTGCAGCAGTATAGTATGGTTGTAAAATTAGGCCACTGTAGCTCAACTTAAAACAAAATGGCATGCATACCCTTTCTTGTTCTTGTTGCCCCCTGCCATGAGCTGAATTGACCCTCCAAACCCAGTAATTTGTCTGTTCCAGGAAAAGATTGTTTATTAATTGATACAATAAATCAATTTTTTATTAAGTTGGGACATGAGTTGGAAACTTCCTAGAACAAAGTCTCGAGTGACTAGAAGCGTTTACCATTTTTACAAATTTAAGTACAGAACACACCGTCTTATAAGAGTAACATCAAACATACATCTTATAAAAGACAAATTTTAGTTGCTGAATAATTTATAATTACATGAAAGGTAATTGCATTCCATTTCAAACGCATAAAGCATTTGAGATAATATGAGTAAATTTTATAATAAATCCACTGTGGTTATAGCTGAAATTGTCATACTAATGAGATTTGACAATTTCATAACTATGTGGATATTTTTATAAAACTTATTTCGTTATTTCAAATGTGTTGTGTTCGAAACGAGATACAATTACCTTTCTTGTTTTTGTTGGGTAATTATAAGTCATTCCGCATCAGGAATTTTTAACTTTTATAAGGTGTTCGTTTGATGTCATTTTTATATGATGACAACTATAACAGTTGATGGTAATGTTTATATAGATAAACTTACACTTGGTTGGAGCTCTGGAAATGGCACATTTGAAGCCACCTGCCTGCAGAGAAGGATTTGATTCAGACAGTAATTTCATCCAGAACTAAGAGACCAAGAAAAATTACATCATGTGGAAGACGTACTGGCAAATCTCGCATTTATTTGAACCTTTAGTACGAAACCAGATTTCTATGCAAGAGCGGTGCACTTTTGCAAGCTCACCTCGACATCGGCAACCAAGATCAATAAACGGTTCTTCTGTTTGTTGGTGACAAACTCTGCTCAAGTAAAAGCAACACAAAATACGGGCACAAGAAATCTTACAAAGAATCTGAAGCATCTAAACAAACAGTTTATGTGAGAGGAGAGGCATAGTGACATAAGTAACTGTTTCAATCATGATAAACATTTAATGGTATCTGAAGTCATTCTGAGTAAATCTGATGTATCAATTTAATTATTCAACCATTGGACCAGTGCATGGCACTGAGAGGTAGAAAAACTAGGGAATAATGAGGCAACAAAAGAGAGTGAACAAAAGTTCAAAAAACTTGAAAGAATATATAAAAGATATAATAGCGATAAAAATCACTACTTGGTTAATGAGCATGTCAGAGAAACAACTCAGCAAAGTACTTACTTGCAGAATGTTTTAGGTAGGTGACATAAATTGGGGAATACAGGCATCTCAGTTTAAGATTAGAACTCTTCAAGTGTCACAGATGGCCATATGAAAGTACAAAAGGTCCAGGATTGCATGCTAGTCAGAACTATCTGAAATGTACTTCATGTATTGATGTCAACTAGAATCACCATGCATATGAGGATCTATGTTTGGTCAAACAAATTTAACATTTCTGATGCTCAAATGAACATTCTAAATTTTAAATATATACTATCACATATACCATCATTGTTTAGTTTATATCATTTGATCGCTGATATTTTCTGCTATAATCATTTGCTTTTTCAAATTACAGAAGTTAATTAATTTTTTTGCATTTGTTTCACAATTCTTTCCATAAAAAAAGGAAAAAAAGCATCTTCAAAAGTGAATTTGATTAGTTTTGATAGTTAAATGAGACTGGGACCTTCTAACTACAGGAAAAATCATTAGATTGGAAAAGAAGAAAGTAAAAGACATAAGTTGTTTTTCATGCTTTTGAATAATTCACTTGGGGACCAACCACAACAAACCTGATTCTCGTCAGTCCCTCAAACTAATGACTTCTTGTTGCAATTTACCTGCACTGATCCTTGTCACTCTCAGTGGGCAAGAAGACCTTCTTGGAAGAAGCAGCTGCTGCCACTGCACTGATGCCCTCATATCCCTCTGAAGCTCCAGTCTTTGAGGTGCTCATGTCAGGCTTTGAAATGTCCTCCGGGTGGGATATCACTATGCTAATCGTTGGAAAATCAACAGCCCCACCCATGTGCCTTACCTGTGAAATTGCACCTGGCCCTCCTCCCTTCTGCGGCCCTCCACTTTGAGAGGGGAAAACATCCCTTAAAGTGTGATTAGGGCCCGAATTCGAACAGGGTTCAGAGCACTCCTGGTGCGCTTTGTGCCCCAGCCCGCCACCTTCATCATTCAGCATTATCTTTTTGCAACACTACAACTCCTCAGAGTCCCAAGTAAACCTTTTAAAGCTTTTCTTCTAATATTGCGATTGCCTCCTCTTCCAACCACTTGAGGCACCGAACAATCTAAGACAGAGAAATGAAATGCCTTCAAGTTCTTTTGAACTCGAAAAACTCGCAAATAAATTGGATATGAGAATAGGCGCAGGACCGTCAGGTCCAGCAGAAACCAACAAAAAAGGCCCTCTAAGACCAGTGGATAGACGTCAAACAAATGCATCGTATTAGTTCGTTGCACTCAAAAGCCTAACACAAAACATGAGATGCAAAATGCATTCCTAAATTTACAAGCCATATCATTAAGAAGAAAGGTTAGGCATATAGAACGCTTTCTTGATCGTAAACACTCAAATCATGTACGGAAAGAAAGTAGAATGCATCAAATATAATGGGATCAGCAGCAAAACGGCTTCAAATGTTTCCTTGCACCTAAATTCCCAAAGGTCTTTTAAGGAACAGCGAAAGAGACAAAGATCGATGCCGTGCATCACAGAACCGCCCAAAAATGGTGCCAAAACCAAAACTATGAAGGAGGAATTAACCGATTAGAGATGCTCAAACCAGAATCAGAAACCAAGAAGACAGCTCCTGGAACTGCTCCGAATGACACCAAAATCGAAACTTTGTGCGGAGAACTCTACCCGGAAGACGAATCGCAGATCGCCAAAGGAGAGAGAAGGCAAAGGCACGAACTTTGTGTGGAGGAGGGATGCAGATACATCCCGCTTCGATCCAGCGCCGAATTGACGGCGGCGCGGTGAGAGGGGGGGGGGGGACGAAGTGGAGATATTTGGAGTCGGACCCGGGAGCGATAGATAACAGTGGCGGGAGGAGTCGGGATACACGTCCCCGACATATCTTGCCCAACACTTCCCCCGTCGTCTCATGGTCCCCAATTTCACGTGGGGCCTACATGAAAGGTTGATAGGATGGAACGCAAAACGTAGCCCATGCTTGGAAACCCAGTCCGTAGTGGCACGTCATGTGGCGTTGCCGTGCGGTACATCTGGTGACCTGCACAACCCCCACCCCCCCTTTGCCTTTTTTGGTTTTTGGTTACTTCTAGCACTATTTATGGCATGATGGGAAGACTAAATTCATGAGCAGAATATTATTTATTTCTTTTATGTATAATAAAAATATCTTTAAAAATGTATAATTTACTGTGGCCACCCATCAACTGAATTGGTAAGTATGTAAATTGCTGTTTTTTTTTTTGCTGGTGATAAATTGGATATTAAGATATAAATCATCACATGAGTCAATTTTTTGATATATTTTTAGGGCGAGTTATGTAAAAAATCTTTTACATATTTTCCAAAGAACTCCATTTGTCATAATGTCCCCTGATAGGACAACTAAAGCAGTATCTCGTTGGTGCTTTAGGTACATTCATTAAGATACTAAAAAGATATTATAATTAAAATAAATTTACTCAAAACTTAATCAAATTTAGCTCGTATATAAACATAAAATTTCAAATAAATATCGTTGCTAGTTTAAAAATAATGACAATCAAATATGAAAACTTTTATGTTATTATAATATTTTTAAATAATCATATGACATTTTTCAAAACAACGTAAGTCTATTATAAAATATTAGAACTGAAGAATTGTATTGATTCATCTTATAAATCAGTCTAAATTAATAGATCGATTGGGTTGATTAACCAAAAGAATAACTCATTTTTATTAATTTAAATATAAATATACAGATCAAAGGTCAAAAGTTATTTTATAATTATAAAGTATAAACATCAGAATCGTCAACATAGAGGTATATATATACGTATATAATTAAAATAGAGAGGAAAAGGAAAGTATTATATTTTCATCTATGATGGAGTAATAATGAGGCAGAACAATACGCAAAAGCCATAGCGAGGGACGTTTCCACTGAAACCGGAACTCGCAAAATGGATGGGGAGGTTGTTGAGTTATATGGTGCAGGCATAGATCACATTTAGCATCAGAGAGTAACGAATCCATGTTCCCACTGGCTCCCACCAAACGCGATGGCGTGATCATTACGGCTGGACGATCGATGAATGCACCCTCGGATGGCATGAGAGAGAGAGAGAGAGAGAGAGAGAGAGAGAGCAGATCGCCGAACAATTAAGGAGGGGAGGGAGACTGCATGTGGGTGCATGTGCAGGGAGATGGAGTAATTTGGAGTTTAGAAAGAGATGGACATTTGATTTAGTTGTACAAAACAGAATGTGATTCACAGCTGACGCTACATGCTTCAAAAAATTAAATAAATAAAGGACTCATCGAGAAGAAAAAAAATGTATGTGATATATATTAATAAAAGACCATGATATAAATAAATATAAAATAATACTTTTATATTTCTTACATCTTCTAATTTTTAATTATAAATCAATAAAAAAATTTAAGTGTATGATTTAAATACATGATTTAAGTATATGATTAAAAAAATCTTATAAGTATATATTACTTGAATGAATGAAGTTAAAAACAAAATTTTCATGGTATTAGAGTCATAAAAAACTTTCTCTTCCTCGCTCTTTTTTCTTTTATCGTGCTGATCTATTGGTGACTATTATTCCTCTTTCTCACATACCTTGTTGCTTATTAACTCTTTCCACTTTCGAATTCAGACATTGCACCCAAGACGAGGATCTACAACTCCTCTCTACCAATCTTGCTCTACAACAAATCTACTCCACTTTGCTAATCTAATCAACCTCCTCCAATGATTGACCAACTTCCCCGGTGATCTTTCATCATTATGCAGTTTTACTTGGTGAGCATTTCCTCTGCTCATATCTACTACTCAGTATCTTCATCCTCTTCTCATCAACCGACAAGCTCACTGGTACCTCGGATCTACAATCGATCTCTCAGCAAAAGTTCATTACTTATCATCTTCCTCCCGACTATGCTTTCAACACTTTTATGACTCAAGAGAGGAAAGAAGATATCACCCTCTTTTGCATACATCAGATCATATCATCCTTTTTGCATTTCTTAGATCTGATCTCCTTTGTTAGATTAGATTCTCTCTTGTGTACTTCTTAAATATGATCTCACCATTTGTTCATCCAACCTAAATCATTAATTAGTTTTGGATTTCTCTTATTGGATCATAGTATCTCACTAGTGTATCTTCCTCCTCTATATCTAACTCTTCATTTATTATTTCCTCAATAAATAATAGTTCATCTTAACCTATATATATATATATATATATATATATATATATATATATATATATATATATATATATATATATATATATCAATGCAGAAATTCTAATCCACTTCAAGTACTTCAAAAGTAGTAACTATGCATTTTAGCGAGCATAATTCACCAATCTCCTCGTTAGATATAATCCTTAGGCTATGTTGATGCACAATAAATGATCCAAACATCTAAAGAACTCATCATAATGACAAATTCTGATAAAAAATTATGGCTATGATAAGATCATCTTATTCTATAAATCATTCAAACTTTATTCGTCAGCTTTATAGCATTACTAATCTCTTTGTGCAACATTATAGCATAAGTATAATCAAAGTAATAAACCATCCTTGCCAATCTATCATGGACTTAGCTGGTTTTGTGCGACACCCTTGCGTGTCCGTCCGCAAAGGTCAGCCTCTCCGAAGCCTCCCATGGTCCCTTAGAACCCACAAAAGAGAAAATGGGTTAGAGAAAATGCCTTACTCGAGATCCACAAGCAAACATTTCCAAAAACACTTTATAGACAATATAAATTATAAACAGACATTACAAACTCTGAATAGTTACACAACAAAAGGTCAAAATGGTCTATTACAAACCGAAAATCTCTCACAAGTGTTCACATGACAAAACCTTTATTTATAAGCCTAAAGCGGCCACCAAACTCAACTAAAATGGGACTATTAAGCATTCGATCGTCCCTCTACATGCTGTACAAAGCATGAACATACCAAAAGACACGGACATACATAAGCATTATATCAAACATCATGTTTAGAAGTTTGTCCGTGATATTCTCCCTCACTTATTCCTTCGACATCATTGTCGAAACTTTTGCCGACACTGCAACTCCTCCCCTTTGCTGAGTCTTCAATCTTCTGCTCTAGCTGCAATGCACCTCTTGGCTCCCAACTGCTCTCCGCTGTTGTTTTTGAGTAGTCGAACCTTTGATTTGCCATGCTACTTCAACTTGCCAATGACTCTGACTCTAGTGTGGGGTTGGCTAAGTTATGTTGATCCCTGTTGGTTCCTGCGGATCCTCCAGATGAAGGAAAAGACCATCCTTACTATGCCCTAGTCTCTCAAATACTCATGCTGCTTGAACTGGGTGGATGCTTGTTGGAGCTTTAACGAGCATCGCCTCGCAAACTTTCGAAGTTTTGGGTCCTTCCTCCACAAAATGTCCATCGACTTTTCTTTCATTTAGTTGTCACTTCCAAGTAGATTCGCATCACTTCCGGTTTCGATTTGCATTCTGTTGGGAAATGAAGCAGATAGACTACTCTCAGTAGCACTGATCACCATTGGTGAGAATTTGACAACTATTATCTTCTATTATCTTCGAAGGGTCTTTGAACCTATACAGAGCTCCTCTGTTGGATAGATAAGAGAATTGGGGTACTCGGATTCGCCTATTCTCTTAAGAGTTGAGAAGGCAATGGTTACTTGACTTCGCCCACCTCTTCAAGGGTTGTACTCCATGCATCGAGCTAGTTACTAGCCTTCGCCTGCTCTTTACTCACACTTCTAAAGCACTCGAAGTGTTTGCACTCCTTGCATTGAGTTAGCTACTATGATTCACCTTCTCAATGCCATCGAACTTTTGGAATGCAAAAAATTTTCACCCCAACTTGGAGTAAGTCTCTAATAGTATTGGTCGCCTCTAGGATTGTACCGTCTTCTCCATCAACCCGACCGCCTACTCCATTGAGTAGTAAAGGTACAGCACCGCGTATTACCTGCTTCGTTCCTTGGTCGTGCACTCTTGCATGACTCGAAGTCCTTCACTTTCGGCTATCTTGATGAGAAGCTCGTTGACACCGGTCTTACGAAGTTCCTTGGCCTTTGCCCTTCAGCCTTGTCTTGGTACTTGAAATTTGCCTCTGCATGCTCTACTTCCTCGGCCCCTTTTATGACCAAGCACTCTCCCTCCATAAAAGCAAGGGATCAATGACTTTCACGGAAGTCCCGCCTCTACGGTACCATGGAGTTGCCATGCCCATGGCCCTACTATCAGTCGCCTCGCATTTGTATCCCTTTTCTTTAAGATTAGTAGATATGTCTCTGTGGCACTCCTCTGAGTCTACCTCCATTCTAACTGATGCTTGATTTTGGGTAGCTAAGTCCCTTTGGACTCGTCGTCACTTTCTCACCCCTTTCGACCCCCTGTTTCAACACCTCTGTGTTCTCCAAGTAGCTTCCTTTGGTCGATGGAAAGACAGACTGCAACTCCCATGCATGGCCTCTGCCATCACGTTGTAGAGTTTGAACCGATTCTATTCTCCTTAGCTTCATTAGTAGTAACGTTTGCTTACTCGACCTTATCCTTTGACTTGCCGGGCTCCCTTAAGCGAATATGGGCTCTAGAGTAGTCCAACTCTCCAGCTGCTTCGATCATACCTCTGCATGATCAAGTCCCTCCTATGGGACTCACTAATACTTGCATTCGAACTTTTCCCTTGGTGGAACACAACCCCCATATGCTGATGACCAAGGCTTTCATTTGATGTAAAATTCGATGCACGCACGGAAGACCCGCCTCTACAGTACCATGGTCTTCACTCTTTGAATCCATAGCCCTTCTTGCCATCATGTTGTTCACCGAAGTG